AAGAGGTGTTTCAGGTAGGTTGTCCTAACAGGATAGTATCCTAGTGCTGGTGACTTGAGTTCAGGTGGGCGACAAAGTTGCCTTTAAAAGAGACTCTTCGGCCACAGTACATAGCTCTAAGTTCCAGAAGCGCAAGTTCCATGGGGTGCATCTAGTGACCAAGGTGTTGTCCCCAACCAGTTACCGGTTACTAGTTACCGTTACCTGGTTACCACATTACCAGTCGTTGCGTCCCGAAACGACCTTATTGGTATCAGCGCAACAATTGCCATAAGACACCGTGAACGTAGTGAACAGCTAAACGAAGCCTAGAGAATAACCAGTTCTTGTTCCCCTTTAAAACGTGTTTTTTACACTACTCAGTTCTTGTGTTATCTCGGAAACTGCTCCAGCACTCAGCATAGCCCCACAAGGCTCGCTTTCTGCCGATTAACGGACAGAGGTCTTCTTCACCTTCAACTACCAACTCCTCACCATCACGGTCTCCTCAAAGACGATACAGGTGAAGATCGTCTTCTCCGGCATACCAGTCGCCCTCAACACTGACGACCGAATACTTCTGACGGACTTGGCGGTCTAGCGAGAAGTTCGACCAAACGAACCCCTTGTCTCCGGGGACTATTGACATGTGATTAACACAAGGATTCTGAATTCCGAGTCAACACTACCATCAAAAAAACAACACCAACTAATGAGATTAACTCACTCGCCTTTCCTCAGCCTTGAAAGGCCACCGCCTTATTCAAGGCTCACCTTCCTCCATTCGGAGCTTGATGCGCATCCGCTCGTTGTGCTTTCTCAGTTGATGAATGGAGAATCGTTCATGTGCACGGCGATGACCCATGAAACACTTCAGGGCACCGTGCAGGCCCTCGGCGTTGTCTGTACTATGTCGCATGCTCGCTGAAGCTGATCAGACTGATCAGATCAGAATAATATACCCGAACGTGAGGTGCCTCGCCAATGGAGGATCAGACCTGAAAGAGACCCTTTTCCGAGATTATGAATTAACAGAACCCGACGTTGTAGTAGTAGAGCGCTCGACACGACTATCGGGGGCGGGCTTGAGTGAGAGCGAGTTGTCAACAATAAACTTAAACAGAATAAGGTCCTCCAAGGCTCAACTTCTCCTGGAAAGCGACACAGTATAGAACACAAAAGCGAAACTTCCTACTTACCGGAAGACAGTAGAGAACGGAACTTATCACGACACTGTTGACCGGTCCTAGCTGGGCATTGTGAGCTTCACATTGTCTTCACAATGTGAAGACTCAGTAGGAAAATACTGATAGGAAATAAGACCAATTGAATCCGAGAGCTTTCATAGTGGGAATCCTCTCGGATTCAATTGAAATTCACACCCGAGATGAACAGAACGACCTCATCGCGTCCAGAAGTTGTAGCACCTCATACGCTTACTCGTTGAGGGTTCAGCCAGCGACAGAAATTTTCGTCACAGAATCGTCATCGTGGGGAGATAACGGAGAAAAAGTAGCAGTAATAGTAGCAGTAGAGTGTCGTTGCAAGCAGTAACCGACCTCGAAGACTAAGAGAAGTAGCCGAGTCGCGAGCCATGCTGAGAGTCGTAAATAATTAATTGACGGCGTGAATTGGTCCCTGGTCCATTACCATCATCTATGGGGATAAACCAACGTTGAGTCTTGATATAATGAGCTTGTACGAACTCCAATGACTATGTATGCTGGACACCACCAGTTTGGTGGAACCAAAAGTTTGGTCCAATTTGGACCGTCCAAAACATAAATCGATAGCCAGGGCGCACGCTGTTCGATCTATATTTCACAACCCTAAAATCACCTACTTGGCAATCCTTGTCCAGAAGACCAACTTGGCGGGAGCTGTCCATGTGCAGTTATTGCCAATACTGATGTTGGCGGAATGAGAACAACACGCAGATTACTGCACATCTGTTGAATTTTGCAGAATCCACCAAATCTCAGTCCAAATCAGTTGTAGAGTAGCGTATTTCACCACATTGTTGTAATCTGTTTTAACACTGGTATCACCTACAATTCCTGTCGTTAGGCCTGCGAATCTGTTTGGTGTCATTTTGGCGATTTCTGAGTTGGCGAAATCTGATACAGCCGAGTCTCCCCACAAGGCGAGCGAGACTCACAGCGCACTCTATGGCAGAACTATTCCATCGAAGTCGTCAGCCTTCGCAGGTTCATACAACGTTCCAACCACGAATTCCTTTCCGCTGAGGTCTCGACTCTGGAAAGGGCGAATCATGGCAGTGCATCGCTTGGCGTTATTGCATCTTACCCCAGACGACCGTTTCAGATTCTCCCCCTAGGCCTGATCCATTTCATATCTCAAACTCGTCTTAAAGTGCCGATTCTTACCTTGTTCCTGATCTCAGATTTTCGCAGGCATTGTCAGTGGATGCGATGCTCTTCTGTCAAACCCCGCAGTTTTCGGGTGACCTGCAGTGGCCACTAGTATTACATGTCGATTTTGGTGCAATACCAAGACAGGTACTTTTCCCCCAGTGTCGCCCTCGTCGCTGTTGCGTTCAGTGAAGCTCTTAATATTCTCATCATCAGCGTACACTGTCTTTCTTCATGTCAACTAGTATGATCGAACACACTCCCCTCAGTGTCAACCGACGGGCTTCTAACACTACTGTCTACTACCACTACGATGACCACCCCAAGAAGACCACCAGCTTCCCTCCCCCTAAGCCCCCCTCTGGTCGCGTCGCCAATTTGCTCTCTGCTGGTCACTACTCTACCCCTTCAACCGGCTCAGCAGCGCTATCCGAGCACCTCCGTCACGCAGGTGAGGCTACATCCATTCGCATGTCCTCAGGCATCCTTGTTCGCTTACAGGAGCGTCCAGTACTTTACCTGGTACCCCTAACGTGGCTCCTAGCAACACTAGCAGTTGTATAAGTCCGTGCGTGCAAGCCTCTCAACTCCCACAAGGTTCAACAGTGGAGTATTATAGTCAATCCTTAGGTGAGCTGTGCTACGATCATGGGTCCGATCAGGTGCCTCCTCCTCCTCCCCCTCAGGTCGTTGGATACCAGCTAAGGTCATGTCTGTGATACCCCCTGATGATCCCCGAGCTGGCGGTAGTAGGATAGGCCTTGTCCATCTAGATTGCAAGCCGATGGCTCGAGTTGAACAGGTGAAGTACTCCAACAGAGCGGAGTAGTAGTCGGTCATTGTCAGGTTCGGTACGCTGCTCCGCCAGTCGGAATGCCCCTCTATCCTGCTGGTCCCATGTCGGGCCCTCCCCTCGACTTTATCGACGTACCGGCAGCCTTCTCGATGTTCAACTCCTCCGCGTCGTCTTCCTCTCCGTCTCTCATTCCGGGACCATCAGTTGGTCCTCCTACGGTTCGAGTGATGAGGACTGCTACGACCATCCCAACAGCCTACCGACGTCCTTCGTACATTACCAAGACCACAAGTATGGCATTCAAGAACCCCGGCAAAGCTGTGCAACTGTAGTAGTCTCAAGTTGAGTACTTCTAGCTCTCTGATCAGGGTCTCCTTTGATGGTGATAAGCTGGTGGTCGACCCCGAGGCCCTCGCCCTGTTAGAGGCTCTCGGTCATGACAAGCACATTAGCGTTGTAACAGTAGTTGGTATGCTGCAAACTGGTAAGAGCTACGTCCTCAACAGGCTCGTGAGAGGTGGGTCCTCGAGACCATCGTGGTGTTGAGATTCCCCCCCCCATGTCAGGTCCTAACGGTGCCGCTAACGCCAGTGACGACCCGCAGAATAAAGAGAATAAGCTTTTGAATAAGCTGCTCAAGTTTGGCAAGAAGAAGGATGGGTCCGGTAACCGGCCTCCCTCGGTGGTCTTCGAAACGGGCAGCGACGTGAATGGCTGTACCCAAGGCATTTGGATGTACATCTGCGATGAGGAACTCCACGATAAGGTCGTCGTATTCCTCGACTGTGAGGGTCTCGGCCGAGATAGGGCGCATGATAGTAAACTCATGGCCATGGCTATGCTCATGAGTAGCGTATTGATATACAACTCTAAGGTGGGTTGGGGGGGGGTCCTGTTGAATGCGGTTATGAGCCTCTTTAGGGGGGTCTGGACGAGTCGGCGTTCAATGGCTTGTCGCTTGTATGCGAACACGCTGATCAGCTGATCAGAGAGTTTAATAGGGAGTGTGGTGGAGCGGCGGTGGAGGGTGTCCTTTCTACGTCCTTCTTGTGGGTCTTGAGAGACTTCGCATTGAAAATGGAGAACGAATGTAAGAGTGGTCGCAGCTCGCAGATTTATAGTTGAAAATTGTATTTCCGAATGGCCTGGGGTCGATCATGTATCGTCTCAGTCGGCGAGGCTATGAGCTCATCTGAGTATCTCGAGAGTGCTCTGAAGACCATTGGCAAGAAGGATGTATCGAGAGCGATGTTCGAATGCTTTGTGGACGTCGACTGTGACACTTTAGTAGGGCCCGAGTGAAGTTGGGTACATAGCAAATCTGCAGGTCCAACCTACTGTGAACGAAGCTGACTTGCAGAAGTTGGACTCAATTTCTGATGGAAAACTGCGTAAGGAATTCAGCGACCAAGTCCAGGCCCTGTGTGGTAAAATATGGAACATGGCCGCCTCTAGAGCGGTGACCATCAATAAGTGCGGCGGAGGTACTCCCTTCACCCCGTTTGCCTTGGCAGTTTACATCAGAAAGGTGAGTTCGTCTGAACTGATCTGCTCGGACGGTGGGGCCTCCCTCTGCAGTTGACAGAGCATTTCTCTAGCTCCT